CGGATCTGGGGGGGGGGGGCAGGGGGCCCGCCCCCCCCCTTGGGTGGGCCCAGAAAAAAATTGGGCCCCAAAAAAATGTTGGGCCAAAAAAGGCCTTAAGGCCCCAAAAAGTTGGTCTCTATGGTAATTTCTAGGTCTTTTTAAGAAGAAAATGGGCCTCAAAATTTCCAAATTTGGGGGCCCAAAATGTTTTTCTATGACCTGAAATTTGCCCCCCCCCCCCCTTGTTGGTTCCCAGATCATGTACATAAACCTAAAAGAAGCTTGGATGAACTTGTCTAGATTACCCCTTTAGACATGTTCTTGATTTTTCAAATCACCCCCACAACTACTTGTGTAGGCCTATTGGAATCTTGGGGTTGGGAAAATAAGCTGGATTAGTGGTTATTTATTATAGAGACCTTTGTGTAAAGTACTGACAACGTTTTTCAACCCAAAGATTCAATACGCACTTGTAGTTGTGGGAAACATCTTGGGCCCTTACTGTGACTCACAAGTAAGGGAGAAGATCCGCTACCCGGGATCGGGATGTCCGGCCTTTCTCTACAAAAACGACAATAGGAGTGACAACACCAATGTCATCATCCTAGTATCAAACTAAATATATTCTACCTGTCACATAATCGCTGACGGTGGTTCGGGGAAGCTTAGACACTAGACTATGTCTCTCAGGTCCCCTAAACGAGACCACCATTTGACACAGATTGCATGATTTAAATGTGTGTTCACAACTGGTGATGTCTCAAGACATGGTCTAAGTCACCACTCCCAAAACTATGAAGACGAAGCTCTCTTTTAAGAAGTGAAGTCAAACGAATGCAAAGGGTAGTATCTCTTTGAAACTTCTCCCGAACCATAGATGTCTGAAGACGATCTAATATTCACTAAATATTTTATTCACGCGTTCTCAGTTATAGAGAAAGTCGTCGCACTTTTGTGTCTCAGAAAATGCACTCAAGTCAGTCAGTGTTTGAATAATGTCGACATACAGGGTGACCCAAAAAAAATGCAACCCTCCATTTCTTCAATATTTTTCTTAAATGGAGGTAAATTGCTCTGATATTTGCCACACAAGGACTTCCTTCAATGTGGGATCCTCCGGCAAAGTTTTAATAATCATAGTCTTATATTGATAGAGTTATGGTTGTTTCACAATATGCTCCAGATGTCGTCAATTTCGCTGAAAACAAACTTGCAATGTTCAACGAAAACTGTTCATAACACGGATGCATTTTCCCCATGGGTATGGCTCAAATTTTTGCAGCCATTGCTTGTTGGGAGTTCTGCAATTGCGGTAGGGTTATTTTCATACACATTATCCTCTAAATAACCCCATATATAGAAGTCAAGGGCATTGAGATCAAGACTGTGGGATGACCATGGGTTCTCCGTCCTAGGAGAGATAATGTTCGCATAGAAATGACTAGTGAGCCAGGCTATGCTATCATTAGAAGTGTGAGGAGTAGCTCCATCCTTCTAGAACCACTGTTCTTTATTGAAGCCTCTATGTCACTCTAGAACTGCCTAGAACTTCCTGGGAATGCCAATATTGCGTTGTGTGTTAACAGTAACAGTGTTGCCATTATCAACCTCAAACCAAAAGGGGCTGATGATTTCATGTTTAGAAATTGGCAGCCCAAGCTGTGCATTTAACAGAATGAAGGGGCCTTTAAAGCACTTCATCTGGAATTTTTGATCCCAGAACACATTATTTCTTGAGTTTACATGTTCAGAAAGAAGGGAATGTGATTCATCCGAAAACCTAACATTGGAAATGGACGATATTTGGAGCATATTTTGGAACGACCATAACTCTATCAATATAAGACTATGATTATTGAAACTTTGCCAGAGGATCCCACATTGAATGAAGTTCTTGTACGCCAAATTTCAGAGCAATTAACCTTCATTTAAGAAAAATATTGAAGAAATGGAGGGTTGCATTTTTTTGGGGTCACCCTGTACATGTATTTTTCAAAGTTTGATTTCTCATTTTTAAACGTCAATTTGGCAAAACCTCACTAATTTGACACAAATAGCCTTCCGATGGAGTGCTTAAATGGTTAGTGACTCTTGATGTTGACACGAGAACGTAAGTAACAGTACATCGAGTTAAGTAATCAGTATGGCAAACAAATCTAAAAAATTGGATAGATTTCTGTCATAGAAACAACAGATTCATTGGTACGCCAGGAAGGTAGGGCAATCAACTCGAGGGGAGACCGGCATGTCCAATTTGTTTGGGTGTCTTTCAATTTGAAAATAACAAAATAGGTAAAATTTATTAATCAAAACGTTGAATAAGATTGACATGTCAGGCTCGTAGCCAGGATTTGCCAAAGGGGGGGGTCAGTTTTCCAAAATTTCCAGGGGGGGTTCACATTTGACAATTTTGGCCCAAATATGGCTAAAATCACTTGAGAAGTGCTCAAAATGGTGAAACACTGCATGGTTTTGAAAGAATTTTTGGCCAGGGGGGGGGGTCGCCCGAACCCTGCGAACCCCCTGGCTATGGGCCTGCATGTATTCAAAATCGAATTGAATACATTATAAGTACAACAAGATAATTAAAAATAATACTCAACGACTTGAAAACCTATCTATTAAATTTATTTAATTTCCCGTAACTGGTGACGTGTTCATTCAGATAGGATTCAAAATATAATCGTGAACAGAAGTTGCACGCTGATGTTAATTGATAAAATTAGTTATCCTTCAGAGACCCAACCTGGAATTTTGTTTAGAGCTCATGACATTTACGCATGTGGAAGCCCAAGTATTCTTGCTGGAAACCTAAGCATTCGAGATTCTTGTCCAAGTTTTCCGACTTGACCTAAATGATCTGGAGTCATTAATTTTTTCAAATACACTCGATGATGGATATCAATGTTGACTTTTTGTTGCTATTAACATTTTGGTTCAATGCGTTGCTATGGAATGAAATGCACAAATATTTAAACAATAATTTTATAATTTATAACTGCGTCAACTTTATATTAAAACATTAATTATCTTGAAAATGTAAAAATAATATATGTCAGCTTATTGTCTTTTCGAGAACAGGCAATAAAAGGTTTATCTTGATTTTTATCTATTTTGGGGGGATTTTGTTTTAATTTTTTGAATACTTTTTTAAAATCAACCAAAAATTATTTTGTATAACTATAATATTGAGAGGTCTAAAAACATGTTGTATATGCTATTTTGTTCCAACATGGTTCGGAAAGACATTTTATTTCATTCTCAAGAATTAGTAGAAAGGAGCAACAACAATTGCACTAAAAAAACAAAAAATGTTAACAAAAACAGTTACATAAAATATTTCTAAATAATTTTCGCATTTAATTGTTGTCAATCAGTCAACATTACATAAAATACCGTGTTTTTTTACAGAATGTTTTCAATAATTGGTTTAAGAGAAAAACATTGTTGAATTCAGTTCACCATATCGATACCTATCCTTTGCATAAACTCTTGGGAAAATTCTGCAAAAATGAGATAAAATTTATGAAAATTCTGCAAAAATGAGATAAAATTGCCGAGAATAATCAATTCTACAGAATCTGAAAAAAACATTTATCTGTTGAATAATGTAGAATGCAATTTGTATTCATACTCGTTTCCCAGTTTGATTTTCAAGCAAAATGAAAACATCATACCTTGGAGATCCAAGATGATTTGCATTAGGTGTGTTTTGTTTGGCTGGAAAAGAGTTATGTTATGCAAAATATATATGTTTAGTCGATAATATTGCCATAGAAACCCACCAGCTGCCACCGTTTTGTTGTTGCAAAATGTCAAACGCCCCAGATTGTTTTAGATCCATAATTTGATATTTGATTTCCACAAAACAAATTGTGTCTAGTATGGGATTGTGTAGCTATAAATCACTCACTACCTGACTCCACGCCTTCTAAAACTTGTGGGGATCACTTTTAGATCATGAAAACTAACAATGAATTTTTAAATCAAAACTATTCAATTAGGAACCAAAATAAATCAAGACGACGGAAATGAACACTTTGATCTAAAATTAGAAATCGATAACTCAGCTTGTATTCGCGAATGCAACTAACGGCTAGCGGCTTCCGGATTCACCTACTATTTTATGACCAACTCATTTAAATATGAATGGAATAGTGCCAGGGGGTTTCACTCCAATATGCTTCTTAATACCTATGTGCAGCCCCAAAGACCCCCTTTTTGAGCATTTTTTCCATGTCAATTTTCTCTTACGATTGAAGGTTTCCGTGGTTTTCCAAATTTTCTAGAGATTTGTACCTGGCCTCAGCAATTGATTTAACAAATTTTATACAATTTTCTGTAGAAAATTTTCCATGTTTTTCCTCTCAGATTGGATAATTTCCATGTTTATGCTGCACATACCTACCCAACTTATTTGGAGTGAACCCCCGAGGAATAGTGGCAGGTTCTATTCATATTTAAACGAGGTGCCCATAAAATAGTAGGTTCATTCGTCGGCCGACAGTTGGATTAAAAAATACAAGGTCAAATAAAAATGAGACAGTGACATCTATTGTTCGATCAATAATAAATGATATGAAATTAAAATTCCTTGTTCAAGACCAATTCAATTACGGTTTGTTTTAGGCCTATTTGTTTTAATTTCTATGCCGACGCATCTCTTTGTTATTCCTTTTGTATCTGGTATTATGAGCATGAGTAAACAAAATGTAAATTGACATTAATTTTTTACGTAATATGTTTATAAGTGTTAAAATCATTTTTGTTTTATTCATTTTTTAAATATGAAAACATGAAAGAAGAGTACCATGCGACAGGGTGTCCCGAGAGTATTTTTGCCCCCCCCCCCCCTGGATCCACCAATGGTAGGCGATGAAGTTCATGTTCGACTGTGATATTTTGTGTATATGTCAGGTCAAAAAACATTCTATGGAGTTGATTTTGCAGTAAACAAAAGTGATCTCGCACGGTGCCAAACACTTTCCCGGGATTTACTCAGAACTACTCCAGTGTATTTTCCAATGAGAATAAGCCGCAACAGCGAAATATCCATGATGGCTCCACTTCCGGTGTTTTCCTAATATTTGAAAATTGTTTGTATTCGTGATGATTATGCCTCCTACAGCAGTGAAACGACCTTTTAACCAAACTCAATCGAGTGATATTGTATCTGAGGTACGATTTATGTACTATTTTTTCGTAAAATTTGAATAATAAGAACATAATAATACATTCAATTCCAAATAAAGATTGGAACATTTTTCCAAAAAATTATGTTTCATTCAAGACACTGTGTGTACTCTGCCATTAATGTTTTTATATTTCAGCCTATTTCTAGATTATATGTGACTTTTCTCATATTCCAGTTTTCGGGCTATTTCCAGATTTCAGATTTGTTTTTATTGGTTTCCAGCCTATCCAAGGCACTGCCATTGTTGTAATTCACCCAGGTTCTCAATACCTCAGAATAGGACGTGCATCTGACACATTCCCTCAGACTGTTCCACATTGTATCGCACGAAGGCACAAATCTTCCGGCCAGAAAAACTATGAAGACCCCTTAGTTCTGAGACGAGAGAGGCAGGTACTGTACTATCTGACATCATGGGCTTTCAACTAAGCCCATGCTGACATTAAGCCTTAAATTATCTTTGTTTTGCAGAATTGGTCAGTCTCAATTAATCATGCTTATGCTTTTAATGTGTAGATTAAATGTCAAATTGCCAATTGGGCCACACCAGTCTTTTATTCCTCTTTTTCCTCCAGTAAGTCACAGAGTCACACAATACAGACAGTTATGGGAATTGGGGGTCTGCGTTTAAACTACTGCCAAAGTCAAGAACATTTTTTATCCAACCACAGAACAGGATATTCCAAAGAAGAACCAAATTCCGATAATGATTCTTTATTGATAAACAATATAAAGGAATAATTCTAAAGAATTTACATATTTGGTGATCTCTGATGCTAAAAGATCACTGATAACATACTGTATCATAATCACATAAATTCCTAAATTCCAGCATGCTGATATAAAATCCCAGGAGAAAATAGGAATCAGACAAGCAGAGGATGCCATAAAGCTTAGACCTACCATAGATGGATCACCCAGGATTCCTACTTCATTTAAACAGGTCAGCTTAAAATCATGAGAAATTGCCTAATGATGAAGATAATCCTTTGAAACTTAAAAATGGGCTTTCAAGACAATCCTATGGTTAAAACATGGGCAAATATTGGGTAGGTGCAAATATTTTAGAAACAAATGCGTGATATATACACATATTTTGGACCAAATGCGTGACATAAAGGGCAATCGAATGCAAAGACCGAACGTAATGCGCTCGCTTTTTTCGCCCTTCGGTATTTTACCAAATCAGCATTTTATAAAAAATGATTTTTAAAAGTATCAACAAAATGCGTGATTTGCATGATATTTGATCATACCATGGGCCCATGATCATACACGCTAAATTGATGCATGATTTCTATTTTTCAGCAAATGCGTGACAATCACGCCTAATGTGTGAGGGTTGACAGGGCTGAGAAGACATTATTCTGATAAATGCCCATAATCCCATGGTTAAACTACTAAATACCACATTTTTTTGTAATTCTCTTTTAAGGTTGCTAATCAATTATTACTATAGGCACTTAAGGCTTATCAATGCTCCTGCTAAATGATCACTAAACTTTTATAACATTTTCTTATTGCTCGAGTTTTGCACACTTTTTACTTTACAATGCCTTGCCTTTATTAAATATCTTAAACTTCTTTATTTTTCAGTTGGCATCACATAATAGCAGTGTTCAAGCCATTCAATCTGATGTACTCTCTCAGGTAAAATGGACAGCAACTGAATATAAACCAGAGTACCTTGTTGGAGAAGAGGTAATACATTTTCCTTATCCATAAATTCTGTGTTTTTATTGCAATTTTACATCAGATTGGTAGATGGCCATGTCTCATTTTTCTTAATTTGACATTTCCTGACAAACTGCTTGACATATCAATGTGATATCTTCAGGCATGTTTCTCGGTACAATAATGTTTCTTGGTACACTAATCTAGAACTAAGATTTTGGAAATGTTGGTGATTTTAAGGTGCCAAGTTTTTGATATCTAAGTACAATATTGTTCAGTGTGCCTCGTTTAGTGTTTTTACTCACATGATGAGGCTTCTGTCCACCTCCTATATATTATGTCACAGAAATCATCAATAAAGAATACCTCTCTTTTTAGGCATTGTATGTAAAACCCAGTGACCAGTATGATCTACATTGGCCGCTCCGTCGTGGTTGTTTCAACATACATGAAGGTCATAATGGGACCCCGACCTCAGTCATACAAGACATGGAACATATATGGGGGCATGTTATATCAAACTTATTAGATATACCTCTTAAAGATCTCAGAGTGAGTATGCATGCAATACGAGGGCTGATCATAAAGTTATAGTAATATTTCTCTAATTTCTTAAGCCATAGTAATCAATAATCAAGGGACCCAGGGACGCACCTATCATAATATTAGTCATAGCTATGAAGCATATGTTACCTACTAAAACTAAAAAACAAAAATTATTTATATAGCTTAGAAATTTGGCCAATATTTTTTAAGGAAACTCCCCTCCCCCAACCAAAATGACAAACCATTCATTTATCACCTGCCTTCAAATGTCTGTCAATAAATACATTTAATGTTTCAGCATTACAGAGCCGTTCTTTTAATTCCCGACATCTATAACAGGGACGATGTTAGTAAGCTCATGACATTATTATTGGAAAGACTTGGATTTGGAGCTGCAATTTTTCACCAGGTACACTTCATTGTGTGATATGATTTTATGGATAATGTGCAGGGTTCACAATGAAAACATGATTGCCCAATTTACCATATTGGCATTCAGCCCATTGCCCACTAGGCAATTCGTTTACCAAGTTCTTGCCAAGAGTGACAGTTGATTACCATTGGAAGTCAAGAAAATTATCAGTCAAACAGCTGTGAGCTTTGAACGATAATGTGACTCCATTTGGTAATGTGACTTATGAATTGGTAATGTGACTTATGGATAATGTGACTCCATTTGGTAATGTGACTTATGGATAATGTGACTCAATTTGGTAATGTGACTTATGGATAATGTGACTCAATTTGGTAATGTGACTTCATGGATAATGTGACTCAATTTGGTAATGTGACTTATGGATAATGTGACTCCATTTGGTAAGGTGACTTCATGGATAATGTGACTCAATTTGGTAATGTGACTTCATATTGGATAATGTGACTTTATGGGGTTATGCATCATCATTGGGTTATGTGACAGTCTTCATTGGACAATGTGGCTTCACTGCCATATTTAACCAACAAAATATTTTCTGTTAAGTTTATAAAGGAGGTAAAATTAACATTTGTTACTTTTGTGTAAATTCCAAGTCATATAGAGTAACATTGTGTGTATTGAATTCCTCATTTTAAAATCTGAGAAAGTTAAATCGGGAAAAAGATTGCCATTTAGGAACATATGTATTTTGTATTTTATAGGAATCTGTCTGTGCGATATTTGGTGCGGGTGTTCCCAGTGCGTGTGTGGTTGATGTCGGAGCACAGAAAACATCTGTTTGTTGCGTCGATGATGGGCTGTCACAAAGAAACTCACGGTAGTGATACATTCACACATAGATATTCATTAAAATCATGGTACTGTGACCTTCACATATATATATTTATTTAACTCATGCTTTATTTTTGTGTCACCATCACAGTGGTGACATATTATTATAGTCCCCAACTTTTTTGTGGATCATTTTTGGCGGTTGGTGTCTGACAGTTGGTGTTAGGCCTTTGGCATCTGTGGGAAATGGCAGGTGGTGACATTTTGCATGTAAATGCTTTGTTTCATTTTGAATTTGAATGGTTTCTGATTTTCAGCATTTACTTAGTATATGCATTTTATTATTGTATGAGATAATTTATTTTTATTGTATGTTTATATGCATATTGTTATTGTATGAGATAATTTATTGTTATTGTATGTTTATATGCATTTTGTTATTGTATGAGATAATTTATTTTTATTGTATGTTTATATGCATTTTGTTATTGTATGAGATAATTTATTTTTATTGTATTACATTATTATTGTATTACAGGGTGACCATGGAGTATGGAGGTTGCGACATAGATTGGGCTTTCCATCGGCTTCTACAAATGTCTGCATTTCCTTATAAGGAGTGTCGTCTTGGCAACCGGCTCGATGCCCTCATGATGCAGGAACTGAAAGAATCTCACTGTCACATGGATCAGGTGAGAACATGATGAGGGTGTCCATAGCCAGGTTTTTCCAAAGGGGGTTCACTTTTAAAAAATTCCAGGGGGTTCGAATCTGAAAATTATGGCCCGAAATCACTCAAAAAGTGCAAATAATGTGAAAGCTTGCATGATTTTGAAATAATTTTTGGCAAGGGGTTGTCCATCTAGAAAGCCATCTATTGATAAGCTAAGAAATCTCACTGGCAATAATTACATGCCCAGAGTAATATATAATTTCATATATATAATAACTTTAGCAACCTTGAGTCTCACTCTCGATCATGTGTTAAAGCCATAGAGAACTGTCAATGTTTGGTAATACATTTCTGAACTATTGCTAAAAAGGAACAAATAAAGGTTCAAACACTCACAGCCTTTAACACGCTATCAAATCAAAACTTCCAGCTACCAAACTTTAAGTGGGGAGTGCAATAAATGTAAAATATGACTAAAATAAATTTAAACACCAAATTATTTTCCACATTTTAGAATACACAAGGTGTACTGGATGCCACAATTCACGTAAAGCAACCATCGAAAAAGATCACGAAATATAGCGTTAAGTTCGGAGATGAGAGAATATTGGCTCCTATGGGGCTGTTTTATCCTGATATGTTTGGCATACAAGGGAAAAATCTTAAACGTGTGCATCAAAGGAACCAGGGGCAATCTTCTGATCCTCTTGATGAAAATTATCTTATACAGACTCAGAGCAAACAAGAACAGGTATGTAGAGTATACAAGAAGTAAACAAGAGAGTCTATCCGTGGCTAATTTGACTGCCTAATTTTTTTGGTTTTGTCAATGTAGAGTATACAAGAAGTAAACAAGAGAGTCTATCCGTGGCTAATTTGACTGCCTAATTTTTTTGGTTTTGTCAATGTAGAGTATACAAAAAGTAAACAAGAGAGTCTATCCGTGGCTAATTTGACAGCCTAATTTTTGTTTTGTCAATGTAGAGTATACAAAAAGTAAATAAGAGAGTCTATCCGTGGCTAATTTGACAGCCTAATTTTTGTTTTGTCAAAATCCCACTTCATCCAATGTGAAGGATCCCATGGAAACCTTTGAATGGTGCACAATGTACCAGATTCTGACACTCATGTACATGTTGTGCTTTTTATATCTTTCTTTAGTAGGCTATGGAGATTCTTGAGATTTCTTGCCTTTTTGTGGCCAATTATACTGAGGTATTAGTCTAGGAATATTATTAGGCTAACAATGATATCATGCAGATCAGAGCTACCCTATTACTTCTATATTATTCAAAATATTTAATATAATGGTATTGATAAATGTTATTTTTATATTCCTTCACCCGTATTATCTTCTATAATGCTGAAAAGCGATTGAGAAGTCACTGTTGTTAAATGGATTATTTTGTTATGAATAAAAATTGAATAATAATAATTCAAAATATTATCATTGCAGTCTGCCAAGTTAGTTGCTGCGAGAAAAAAGGCAGAACAGGCTAACCAGAATGTGTCAGAAACTCCAGGAGAATTGGAAGACTCTCGTCTTGACGCCATGGATGAAGATTCAAATGAAGCTACAGATTCACAGGACATCTCTATTGGTATGTTAATCATATGACTTCTATACTATACAAGTACTTCAACTTGACTCTTGGTTTATCAGTGTGAATAATGGTATATTTAAATGACCATTTGTCGTTAATGTCACTATTGTTCTGTCATTGTGAATAGTGGTATGTCTAAATGACTATTTGTATGCTAATGGGACTACTATAGTACTATACTAGTATGTTTACTTGAATATTGGTTTATCAATGTGACTACTCTGCTAGTATTGTGATGTGACTATTGGTATGTTAAATATGACTACTATGCTAGTATTTTAATCTGATTATTGGTATGTAAAATGTGACTACTTGTATGTTAATGTGATTACTGGTGTGTTAATATAACTATTTGTATGTTAATGTGACTACCGGTATGTTAATATAACTATTTGTATGTTAATGTGACTACTGGTATGTAAATATAACTATTTGTATGTTAATGTGACTACTGGTATGTTAATATAACTATTTGTATGTTAATGTGACTACTGGTATGTTAATATAACTATTTGTATGTTAATGTGACTACTGGTATGTAAATATAACTATTTGTATGTTAATGTGACTACTGGTATGTTAATATAACTATTTGTATGTTAATGTGACTACTGGTATGTAAATATAACTATTTGTATGTTAATGTGACTACTGGTATGTTAATATAACTATTTGTATGTTAATGTGACTACTGGTATGTTAATATAACTATTTGTATGTTAATGTGACTACCGGTACGTTAATATAACTATTTGTATGTTAATGTGACTACTGGTATGTAAATATAACTATTGTAGGTTACTTTGACTATTGACTATAATATGTGTTGGGATATTTGATTTATTTTAGCTGGTAATAAGACTTTGGCTGAGGAAAATGAAAAAGATGATACCTCCGCATTATTGGGTTTAGATGATGCAATTCTATGGAGTATAGATAGATGTAGTGAGTACAATTTAATAGAATACAATACAATACCAAACTAACCAAAGTATACAATACAATACAATAAAATACATAGAATACAATATAATACAAAACAATACGATACTAAACAATATAATACAATACAATGCACTTTGATAGATGTAGTGAGTACAATCTAATATAATACAAAACAATACAATACCAAAGTATACAATACAATACAATACACTATGATTCAGTTCTGTATACTACACTACAATATAACATGGAATATATGAATATAACATGAATTTGCAATTACTTGGGTAGATGCTGTTTATACAGGCAACTGGTGTCATTCAGATCTATACTCTCTTTAAGTGTGCCATCATTGGTTTGGATGTTGGGTCTTTGAATGTTATATCTTGGGGAATTAAAGCAACTTTGTATCTAATATTGGTACATTTTTTTCACCAATTATTTTTTAATGCTTTTTGTAGTTCACCTTGACATATTTTTAAATATTTTTAGGTTCAGATGAAATGAAAAAGAAAATGTACAGCTGTATTGTAGTGGTTGGTGGGGGTCTTAATTTTGAAGGATCTCAAGCATGGTTACAATACAGAATTTGGACGAAGATGCCTGCTCATTATAGAATCCAACTTGAAACTATGGATGTCATCACAAAAGCAAAGGTAAAAATGTAAAAAAGGTGAATGTCTGTAAAAACTGCATATTCCACTATGATAAAATTAAAATGACATCAAATGAAAAATATGTATGTTTACAATCAGTATTCTTGGTTGTTTTTCAAAATGAGCATGTGAATTTAGCGGAAACTAGTCTCTTCTTATTCTATTTCTCAGTTAACAGTTATGGAAGGGAGCATCTATTTATATATTATCTCTATTTTAGTATGGACCCTCAGTTAACATGTTGGAAGATCTAATTGTTTGGGCATTATTTCTGTTTCAGGATATGGAGCCTCAATTAATATGTTGGAAAGGGAAAACTATTTTCTCGTTATTCCTACTTCCCAGTTAACATGTTGGAATGGAGCATCTATTTATATATTATCTCTATTTTAGTATGGACCCTCAGTTAACATGTTGGAAGATCTAATTGTTTGGGCATTATTTCTGTTTCAGGATATGAAGCCTCAATTTTCATGTTGGAATGGAGCATCTATTTATATATTATTTCTATTTTAGGATATGGACCCTAAGTTAACATGTTGGAAGATCTAACCGTTTGTGTATTATATCTATTTTAGGATATGGAGCCTCAATTAACATGTTGGAAGGGAGCAACTATTATGTGTTGCTGTGATACGGCACATGAACTGTGGATCAAACGAAGAGAATGGGAAAAAGATGGCGTGAAAGTTTTACGCGAAAGAACTCCTTTTGTTTGGTGAACTCAATTCGTAGAACTCAATTCTGTATTTATGTGCTTGAGTTATCATTGAACTCAATACATTTCATCGTGGACTCAAACGTAGGATTGGACACTGTATTTTAGTGCTTGAGCACTTGGTGAAACCAATACACTTAATAGTGGACTCATGAGATGGAATGCTTTTATGACTGAGTCAGAGTACATGATGAACTTAATACTTGCTTTGCATTGTTAATATACATGTAACATGTGACCACAAATATTTTGTACTGAATTAAGAAAATTAGAGAAAAATAAACATAATATAATTGAGACTTCATTGAGATTTCAATTTACTATATTGTAAATGGTTAAATGGTTAACCAATGGGTAAGTAAGTATACACATGTCATTATTCAATATTAAAGAATGAAGTCTTGGCTACATTAAAATTCTACATCTTTAATTTTTTTTAGTTAGTTAGTTAAATACTTTTTTCAAATTTATATACATTCATTTTTACAGCAGACATTTTAACTAATACATTAGCGTGCGTATGTATGCATTTAAACCAAAAATGCTGTCTGATAAACGACCATTCAATTAACAGAACATGTACTTGTGGATCATATTTTAAAGAAATTAAAATATATATATATATTAGTAAGTACATACATATACTACTAAGTAAATTCGATGTACATTGTAAGTAGATTTATTATTCAAATAGTATATTAACATCATAGTGATTAACATCACTATTGTTCAAGGACTGGCAGAGCTAATCAAAAAAATAAACAATCGAAAATGTTTAGGGGTTTGTAGAAAAAACACGGTACCGGGTAGTAAATCCTCCATGCTGGGTTCAAACTTAGTACCCGGTTGAAAAAACCGGGTACCTCAAAAAACGAAAAATACGAATATTTAACATAATTAGGTCATTAGAAAACATGTAAGCTTTGTTTTGAGTTTACAAAAATGTATGTAACTTCCTTCAATATTGAGCTAGAAGCTTCAAATAAAAAGCCTATGACATTGTAAGACATACACTTTAGTGGACGTTTCGTCGAAATTGGGATATCTTTAATTATGATAAATAATCAAAATCTTACATGTTGCATCATGTAAACTAACACACGTCACCCCTTTGCTTAAGTAACGATAGCTATTTACAGATTTAAATCATAATCAAAACAATTCACGTACGTACATGTGTATAAGTAACTCTTGATGGTGAACTTTTTAGATAATTTGGAAAGGCTTCCCATTCACTTCATAAATGCCATAAGTGAATGGGAAGCCATTCCAAATTATCTAAAAAGTTCACCATCAAGAGTTCCTTTCAAAATCAATTTACGTAAATTTTCAGGGAAAACGAAGCAATTAACAACCACAAACCTGGATCTTACAAGAAAAGAAGAAATTTTATTGAATAGAACAAGATGTGATTTCATTTTTACTGGTCATCTTTTCCAACATAATTTTCAAGGTATTGACAGTCCCAAATGCATCTGTGGTTTTAAACAACAAACCACAAAGCATCTAATCTTCAAATGCCCTCTGTTGAATGTTATAAGAGAGAAACTTTGGGGGGAACTCAGGAACATGCCAGAAATGAACATTTTCTTTACAGGATGCTCTATAGAGCAAAAGCAGAATATCTTAATGTATGGCAGAGATGGAGTTAGCATAACATGCAATTCTTCAATATTGAAGCATTTTACATCCTTTTTGTGTGAATGCATTGATATAATTATATAGTTTTAACACATTCCTGCCATGCATACATACATGTTGGTAGTCATTTTTGTTGCTATTTTGTAAATTTGAATAAACTTTGTACTAACAGGGCCAATAATGCTGAATTTCAGCCTCGGCCCTGTCATTTGTAAATCATATTGTAAAGTAAAATAAAGAAACCATAAAAACTAAACTAATTCACGTACTAACATACGAACTATTGAAAATAGAGTAAGATTGATTTGTCATGTTTTTCAAATCGTTAACAATGTCATAGGGGTAGCCAGGAGGGGGTTTGATGGTGCAATCACACCCCTCCCTCATAACCAATGAAAATATGAGCATGATGATAGAGGAGGAAAGGAGCCTTAAAATGCTTTTTATTTGAAGCTTCTAGCTCAATTTTGAAGGAAGTTACATACATTTTTGTGAATTCAAAACAAATCTTACACGTTTTCTAATGACCTAATCATGTTTTATATTCGGATTTTTCTTTTTTGGTACCCGTTTTTTTCGACCGGGTACCGGGTACCAAGTTTGAACCCAGCATGGAGGATTTACTACCTGGTACCCGGTTTTTTCTACAAACCCCATGTTAACGGATTTTCGATAGGAAGTCATTTCTCCTCTTATCTATCTCACAATAATACAAAAATGTCAAACAAGACAAAAACCACTTTCCAATGAGAAAAATGACAGGATTTCACGCATGAAATGAATGTGATACAATTAAGCAGCAAAGTAATCAATAAATCATTTATGGACTTGTGTTGCAGTGAATCCGAATACGTTTACTTAGGAATTATTGGACAAGCGGAGTTAGAAAAGTTAGGAATGCTTAAAAATGATGATAGGTTAGATAAAATTGATTCAAAATCCCGGGTTCAAAATACAACTCACAACAATTAACGAGTCTGTAGTGAGTACTAGATGCAAGCGTTTGCAAAGAAGCACTACTACTAGTTTTAGGGAGAAAGTTAGTAGGATAAATCCTGTATCCTAATTTTGAGGTTTCCATATCCAGAACCTCCTGTTCTCCCGCCATACTAGTATCATCCGCTCTCGGTCATATCTTACCCACTTCCGGTAATTACACTTTAATCGTGGCGAAGAGCTTTAGAGATGATAGGCATAATTACGTCTCTAAACGTCTCGTCGATAAAGAAAGACCTGCTTATAAATATTTTTTACCGGTAGTGTTATCAACATAAGGAAGAACATTACTTTATCTAAGGCGATTTTATACTCGATGTCCATCTAGCCCAGTGGATCAGTTGAAAATACATTATCAGCAAATTTAGGAAGACATTGAATGCGTTTTCCAATCTTATGTCAAGCCTATGGGCTGTTTGGATTAATTCAACATCATTATTCGAATCATCTTGATTCTCAAGGTATTAGTTGCTCCAACTGTTATAACTACTTGGAATTCGAAGACGTATTCGAATAAGAAATGATTGAACTACCGTATAGCATTGTAGGGATAGACAGCGTCCAATAAAGGCGTGATGCCGTTTGAGGATTGAGTCCACCACAAGTACTCCCTAGACCAAGTAGAGAGAAATATTTCCTTTTATCAGACGCAACCGCCTTCTCAACATATTCGGAAACTTACGCTTCCACTAGTTGATACGGGTATACCTACATGGGTTTGATTTATGATTTATTTGTTTAGAAAAACCTTTAAACCACACTATAACAACAACAAACAACAAATATATATACAATGCGTTTTTTATATTAATACAATGTTTTACTTAGCCGTCTATTTCTGTTCAAAACCTGAGACCATCATAAAATAATTTATAGGCTTAAAATCATATCGTATTCGAAGTCCTCCATTTATAGACGATTTAATCAGCACGCTATAAAATATTGTTAATCTAAATTCTTTTTGTAAAACCTCCTCTGATTGGCTAATGTGCTAAGGGGTCATCAAACTATTCTGGCACCAAATTCAAATGAGAACCTTACAATAAATTGAAATACTAGTATTTACGTTAACCATGGGCTCCATGCGTTAACAGATGCGTGAAATAATTATTGCCTACTTGGCCATAAAATATGAAAAGTAACAACCCAGGGTTGTTACATTAGATTCAAGAGGGCCAATTTCCCAAGGACGATAAATCACTGCCGGATCTGAGTGAGCAGGGGGTAGGGCACGCAGCCCCCCCCCCTTTTTGGTGGGTCCAACATGTTAAAAGTGGGGCTAAAATTGGAGGATTGGATTCCAGGGTTGTAACTCGATTATTCTATCATAGCCTATATGAAGTCATGTAGACTAGTGATTACAAAATCAAACAGCCGGCATTTTTTCCAGATATTTTTTATAGTCTAGTTTTTGGGCCGCAAAATTTTGTCGGACCTCCAAAAATAGGCCTTTTTGGGCATAATTTGGCCTTTAAATTTTTGGTTTTAGGGGCCAATTTTTTTTCCAGAGACTCAAAATTTGCCCCCCCCCCCCCTTAATACCTTCTGGATTGAACTTACCAGCTTATCGGTTTCATTTGAATTTTGTAGCGATCCGGGGTTGGCCAGTCATATTTTACTCTTAATATGAAATGCCAACGTTGCACCCGGTGTCACTACTTCCCTTCCGCTCTACAGCGCGAATAGTCCAGCTGCAGGCAGTCAGGGTCATAGTTTCTTGAGCTCTACTTAAAGCTTCTGTGTTCAGAACAATTGTTTTGGAAGGATATTTTGAACATAGCACATTTCTGGTAAGTCTATGTAAGGGTCGACCTCTCGCGAGAGACGGCGAGAAGTGAGTTTGCGCCATACTTTTTTCACTCACGAGGCAGTTTTGATTTAAATTGGTGGTTTGGATTACTTTCGACACTTGATCAGGCCTGATCGATCGTTATGGCAGCCAGAGGGATGAGGAGAGTCGAGTGGCTGCAAAACGGAGGTTGTGTTTTTATATTTGTAATCCACTGCAAGCACATTGTGAATAATTTTCACTCAGATTTTATTTTGTCTTTCGTTTCACTTTGAGTCAACTGAGTGAGTGTGCATTTGATTTGGTTATTATTTATTTGTGAGAATTATGTATTTTTTGACTGGTAAATCTGGTCTGATTTTGATATGCTCAGCGCGCAGGTGAGATTTTACACGCTACCAAAAGCTAAGCTTTCATTAAAGTGGGAGTATCGATTGCCGAGTCGTATCCAATGATCCTGGGCCTATCGTAAAATGAAAGCTTTGAATATGTTGTTGCCTTTAAAAATGTATCTATTTTCCATGTATGCTACTAGAATTTGTGCACATACCTTATAACGATCGATAATGGCAAAGGAAAATCCTCTAATTCTTCGTCATAATTTCTCCTTCGACGTCCGCCAGTTTTTATTAAACCGGAAGTTTCTCTCTGACGTCCGCGCAATGTTTTTTCACTTTTATTTCAGATTACGCTTCGGATTCAACATTTAATGCTTTCTAATATTAATTAAGTGTTTTCTATCAGAAAGATTTCATAAAAAGACTCACACTATCAGAGATTTTATCGATTCGAGCAGCCAGAAAAATTAGTTTCAATTTCACCCGCTAGGTGTTTCGACGTCGACTTGGAAAGAATTTGAAAAATCTATGAGTGGGACTCCTTGTATGGAATTGTAGATTCTAAACGATTTGCCAGTTCTACTGGTTGATGAATATTGCCATATGCATACATTTTTATAAAATAGGAATAAGGAAGAAGATGTTGGACCAAACTTCACCCCGATAGCTCAGAAAAGGTAAAATTTCTCCATTTTTCTCTCCACAGACCTTAGAGCCGCTTTAACGCCGTTTTTAGGCAAAAGTATATTCATTAAAATTTAAATCCTCGGACTGAAAAAATATCTGACTTCACGTACCAAGAAACGCAGATTTAAATAAAAGAAAAACATTTATTTTATTTTTTTGTACTTCCACTTTCACTTCAGTAATTGAGCCAAAACTTTCCAAAACATAAGATGAAGTGTTTACTTACCATACAGAATCTTACTTTCCCAAAATAATGTTTGAAAAATCTGCAATTTAAAGGCGCAATACCGGAAATCGGGAATAATTCCTTAGAAAAACTTCAAAATAAATCGTTGGTGCCTCAAACCTGCCCCTAAGAATGGCTACGACGTGAACTTACCTTTGTCAAAATACCGGAGCCTGAAAAAAATCACTCACCTAGATATCGACGAAAGAAGTTTCAGTTTCGTTCGACTGCGAGAGCAAAATTGAAGCTGAGCTAAACGGTTTTCGTTTGTCGTAAAATTGACCTCATTTAACTGCGCCATCTGGTGAATGATTCATTGTTTCGTGTCATATGATTCGTTGTTTTGTGTCACGTGACCTACCTTTAGACCTTTTGCCACCTATCGTAAGTTAATCGAATTAAAATGAAATTTTTCGATCCAAGAAGAAAATTTGCACAAAAATTATTAACTCCGCTTGACATAATCTTTGTCACTCTATCGTCTTCTTGATGAGGCACATCGGAACTTTGGATTAATAGCCATTCAACCAAGCCACAAAAAAGTATGTATATTAGTTGTTTAACATGTTCAATTGTGTTAATATTTCCCGGAACTCGGCCTTTAAAGATTAATTTAAATTGCCGAATATTTCAGAAAGTTTTCCTGTTTCCAGTTTGTGATTTGAGCAAGAGACACCAACTGGAATGTTCCAATTAGTAAACTTCCTCCCTCCTATGAAATTTGCAACTCCCATTTATAATTTTAATCATTCGGGGAGAAACACTCTTAAATGGAACAGCCAAAACAAACTTGTAAAGCGGGAAATTTGAATGTTTATGCTACATGACCTGTTTTAATTTGATCTGATCACATGACTACAATAAAATATGAGCTCATATGGCATAGTAGAGAAATAAAGATAGGAAAATGTTTGAAAAAACATCTAAGTACATGGAGTAGCCTACATGTATTGTTTACCAGTCAAAAGGAAAACAAATCCCAACTATCCCAGATCATAATCCAACATCAGAATCATTCAACCTAGTTAGAAAATTACTTTTTTTGATAAACTGAACTGAAACTTAAAATTTTTAGTCATCATATTTTGGGACCCACTTTTTCTAGCCTGGTCCCAGATTTTTTAAATGTGGGGTCTCAGGGACCCACATTTTTCAGACCCTAATGAAAACACTGCAAAAGTCAATGGAAAATGATCCTCAAACTAATTTGCATTTTTCGATCTCAAATGTCATAATTCAAAGCATAAATGTCGGTCCTATATTTCAAATACATCTTATACTTACATCTGATAATATCGTTTATCAAACATATGCAGTATTTATCGTAGAATAGAATGAATTTCAGCTAGAATTGGCATGGAAAATTTAAATCGACGATTCTCTGCCAGATTACGCTGATACGATCCATTGATTGGTCAATGCGCTGTGTACCGGAAGAAACTACTTTTGTTATGTCCCCACCACATAGTGTGGGGCCATATTGTCGGCCTAGGCGCGTCCGTCTGTCCGTCTGTCTGTCCGTCCGTCTGTCTGTCTGTCTGTCCGTCCGTACGTCCGGCTGTTTTCTCCAAAACCGCTACAGATATCACCTTCAAATTTTCAGGGATAACTTATGAGTGCATACAGATGTGGATGAAAAAAAATTAACTCGATACCTACTTCCTGTCGGCCATTTTGAAGTCAAATGCTAAAATCCTTGTCTGCAAACTTTAAGAAAAACAGCTTCACAGTTGCTTTTAAAACTTTAACATCTTGTTCAGCTCACTTCATTCTAGATCTGATTAGGTTTTGGACCTGTTAGCTCAGTCATGTCAGCCATTTTGAATGTTTTAAGAAAGGTTAGCGCACGATAATACTTTGTATCATATTGAATGGTGTTTTTCAGTTTTCATACTTTAACTTTTTAGTAGCTTTATAAATAAATTCAGGTGTACTTTGTTGTTAAAGCCTATGTTATTGTTAACAGTAGTTATATGTGATAATTTTGTAAAAAGATTTCAGCAAAAACTCATAATCACTTTTTTATTGTCGGCCATTTTGGATTCTTCCGTCCTAAAATCTTGTCTGTAAAGTCTTGTCTACGCGTTTTCAGGTGAACCGTTTGGTAGATCAATTTCAAATTTTCAGGGATGATTCTTAGTATGAGAATCTAGATCTGATTAGTTTTTGGGCATTCTGGGTAAATGTCAAGGCAGCCATTTTGGATTTTCCGTCCTAAAATCTTGTCTGTAAAGTCTTGTCTACGCATTTTCAGGTGAACCGTTTGGTAGATCAATTTCAAATTTTCAGGGATGATTCTCAGTATGAAAATCTAGATCTGATTAGTTTTTTGGCATTCTGGATAAATGTCAAGGCAGCCATTTTGGATTTTTCGTCTTAAAATCTTGCCCGTAAAGTCTTGTCTACGCGTTTTTAGGTGAACCGTTTGGTAGATCAATTTCAAATTTTCAGGGATGATTCTTAGTATGAAAATCTAGAACTGATTAGTTTTTGGGCATTCTGGGTAAATGTCAAGGCAGCCAGTTTGGATTTTCTGTCCTAAAATCTCGTCTGTAAAGTCTTGTCTACACATTTCCAGGTGAACTGTTTGGTAGATCAATTTCAAATTTTTAGGGACGATTCTTAGTATGAAAATCTAGAACAGATTAGTTTTTGGCATTCTGGATAAATGTCAAGGCAGCTATTTTGGATTTTCTGTCCTCAAATCTTGTCTGTAAAGTCTTGTTTACATATTTTCTTATTGTGTCGGTAAAGTCTTGTCTACTCATTTTTAGGATAACCATTTGACGGGATCACCCATAGGTGGGGACATATTGTACACATTTGTGTTCTTGTTTCAATTACCGTGTCACCCCATATTTTTAACATGGAAATAGGAGGGGTTATTCATCGTAATCGTGTCTAAATTTCTTGCTTTTGAGGCACAACATCGTAAACAAATGGCGAGATGAGTTTAAATGATTAAAGATAAAGTATTTTCGATCTTTTCACAGCTGAATGGCTGTCTATTCTTCAAGAAAGTCGCGAGGAGGGATACTTTACCCGCTTATTTGGAGTCTTGAACCTTCATGAACCTTTAATTTTACACATTTGTCTGAATGAACACACTCTAAAATATGGTTTTGTAAGATATCAAGCTCCAGTTATCCCTGGATTTTGAGAAAATTGCCACTGAAATTGGAGTAAATTTCTGTTTTGATGACGTCAATTTAATACGTTTTAGACAATATATGCGATGGTTACATTTCAAAATATGCAAGCATTGTGTGCAGTTACACTTTTGCCTGATATATTCGTGATATAAATTAAAGGAGCTGTGCAGATAAATCACATTTTTTTACTTCCTTGTCGGCCATATTGTTTTTTAAGGTAACCAATCAAATCAAAGGATTCAACAAAATGGCGCATATGAAATTACCATTGGTTTTTGGTAGTGTTACACAGCGCCACGTTTTGACAATTGCATTACTTAAGGCACAGCTGTAAAATAACATTTTGCTAGAAAATTGGTATACCTGCACATGTTATTTTCTGGTACAAAATAAAGTATGAAGGCATGTGTCAATTTACTTGCTTTTTTCAGGAAAGTATCACTATCTTTTAGAATATCTGGTAGGAGTTCAATGGGAACTCCAGGAAATTCTGATATTTCACACTTTCTATTTTTCCAAATTTTCTTTCAAAGTTTCCAGACAACACAGGAGCTACCATTGACCCATTTCCAGGTTTACTAAAAGGAGACAGTGTAATGATACTTTCCTGAAAAAAGCAAGGAATTACATACATGTACATGCCTTCATACTTAATTTTGTTCCAGAAAATAACATGTGCAGGTAAAGCATTTTTTTACCAAAATGTTACTTTCCAGCTGAACCTTAAAGGCACATTGTTATGGAATTTATTTTGTATCAAAATTGGACAATACATGATCCATGTGATAAGTCATCAAACGATTTGATGAGACACTCGAACTACATGATGCCAAGGACGTCTATCTAGATAGATAGATAGACGTCCTGTCTCTGGGATAAGTAAAAAATACTGACTTGGGCAAGGCTAACCTTGAGTGAATTGTTGGTTATATAATAGCATGCTGTTATTTGAAATATTGCCCTTGGATTGGCTGGTAATGGACATGTCTAGCTATGGGTGAAAATGTGATTTAACGTACGTATTGTATTATTTTCATTTCGGATTTCAACTCCTGGACTTGTAAAATTTAGTTTCTGATTTCTTATTCCAGATTAATCCGGCTATGTTTAGTTGATTTCTGGTAAGATCTCAATATGATTTCCCTCAAGTACTGCGATACCACAGCCATTTGCAGTTTAATCTACCGTCAAGACTTCACATCTTTTGGATTCATAGACAATGTCAATCACATTGAATGCAGTTGGGCTAGAAATCAAAATAAAGAATGCAGATTCGTGTCGCTAGTTCCTGACTGACTGAGCATGACAGTTCGGCCTAGGATGTCATGAATCATAGACAGACATGAGGGTGCTTCTGCTATGCTTGTTTGTTATCCTATTAATGAGGTAAATTTTTGCTTGTTTGTTATCCTATTGATGAGGTAAATTTTTATTATTTCATTTGTTATGGTCCTGACAAAAATTAAAACATAAGTGAACTTTTTGTCAATACTCCTTGACAATTTGATATTGGTGATTTGAGATAGCATACTCTCATCTTGTCTAGAAAGATATATCGTAACATGATATATTCAGTGTATTTCCTTGTACAGTGCTGATACAAATAAAAAGACATATTCTCAATAAAAGTTCAGATGGTAATTTACATAAATATCTCCCATGATGCATTGCTTTGGAAGGGAAATTTTCATTGGCCCCCCGAACAAGTTGATTACTCTGAACGAAAGTCTGGAGATTGCAAAGTCAAAGGTCATGATCCGCTAGTTTCATTGGTCGAGGATTACATCATAGCGTATAGCATCATATTGGCGGAAGATTTACCGAACAAAATTTCAACAAATTCTGATAAAACTAGCGTGAATCCTGACAAAAATGACAGTTTCTCACCCTCCGATATTCCACCAGCGCTCGAGCATAGTTACATGATCCAATCTATGCAATAATCGGAAAGATAATTAGAGATTTAAAATTACATTATTTATATTTTTCTTCAATGGTGTCTGAGCAATTTTTGGGAAATCAGTGACGTCACTGGAATTGGACGGCATTTCCAACTAAAGATTTCTTCGGATTTAGGGATTATAGTTCAAAAAGCCTTGTTGTATATCTTAATATCATACATATCTATCATTTGTGCAAATGCAACACTACATAAATGTGTAATAAAGCCGTAGTGCGGCATTGAAAATCACACTCCTGTGTAATCCAATGGGAAATAACCCGGATGTAGACGAAGTTGTACCTCTCATGAGAGATCTTCAAACGTGAGGTAACTAAACTTAACTAAACTAAAAATTTATCGCGTATTGGCTTATTGAAAAGTTGTATAGTTGGCATATTTTCTTGAATTTAAACATTCATTGTCCCATACTCCCACAAACTGCAGAAAAGTATACACCGTAAATCATATTTACCAAAATGAGTGTCTCCAAGACTTCATACCAGCGTATGCATAATGCTTTTGTCACAAGTTTGAGCTAAAATTTCGCTAAAATGAAGGAAGAGTAATCTCCGTCAGGTTTGTTTATTGTGGTTAGCTTTCAAGGCCAGGGTGCATGTTCGGAATTCCCCAATTGAGTCACATGCTATTTTTGAAACAGAAATCACTCCTTCCAAACATTGTCTACATCTTCCAGTTTTGCCCAAAGAGTGCACTTATGTTCCTAGAAAAGACTGATGAGAAGATTTGTTTTGTAAAATGTATAAAAAACGAGAAAATTCATTGAAAACATTTTCACTGAATTTGTCACTGAATTTTCTTGTTTTTTTTATACATTTTATCAAAGCATTCTTCTTTGCATTCTTTTCTAGGTATACTAGTGCACTCATGCAAAAGTGAGAGATGAAGACATTGAGGGGAAGGAGTGATTCAAATTTGAAAAATAACATGTGACCCTATTGAGGGTTACAGCCCTCGAAACTCACATTTTTTGCCTGGTGCCAAAATAACTACCTGGCAAATTTTCTGGTAGTTGTTTGATTCCCTCAGGTAGTTGTATATTTCAAGACGTAATAAAATATAAAAATAAAATATAACCACCATATACATGTTTATTACCTTGTTTTTATTTATTCCTTTATTGGACATGTACCTTGTATTAGTTAAGGTACAGCTGGTAAATAACATTTTGGTAAAAATTGCTATAACTGTATACCTGCACATGTTATTTTCTGGTACAAGCAATTTTTTACCAAAATGTTACTTTCAAGCTGAGCCTTAATCAACACGAGTGAGAAAAAGGTTAATGGACTTTTTCTCAAACTAAAGTTTTTGTTGTTCTTTAGATATTTGTGATGATAACAGTGCACAAGCACCTGTTAGATAAAAAAAACTTCACAGGAACAGTTTAAAAATTGTAATATCTTTTCTGAAAATCTGTGAAGTGAACAAATCACTTTAACACATTGAAATTAAACTAGGCCTATTTGAAGATTTTTCAGGAAGTTTATCAGAAAGTTGCACCTTTTTGAATATTAACAAAAAGTGTTTTTTCATTTTGTTTTACGCTAGTCCATGAAATTAGGGTGCTTGGTTTTTGGGCCACTGAGATACCATCTGTTTATTGACTTTCTAACAACATCATCATGTTTCATTTTTTTTCATTGTGATTATTATTAGATCATTGAGTGTGTTCGTGTTTAACGAACACCTCCAATCACTTTTTATTCTTTTAAGGCAACTGAATCCCCTCTCATTTGCAGAGGTTGTGGATGGAATCTCTGAAGATCATATCTTTCCATTACATAAGTTTTAAGCTCTGTCCATTCACTAAAAACATTTTGGACATTTGCATGGTCCAAAACAGTCTGAAAATGAGTGCAAATTATTCTGAGTTCATTTCTACCATATGTATGCAGTTCGTCTCGTGGCCAGTTCTTAAAATCAAAAATTTGAACTGCTTTAACGATGTCTGTCTGAAAAACTCCCATGCGTTCACTTTGTTTGTCAATCACTTTTTTTGTAAAATTGTATGTGTTTGTAATTTTAAAGTTTCAAGAGGAACTTGATTGCTCTGCTGAATTGTAAGATACTTCCCATCATCTGTTTGATCTATAAAATGATCTACATTTGTAGAATATATTTCTTACATTGAATAGATATACATTAGTCAGAACTTCCAAAACTGTATCCATGTATGTGTGTTTGAATGCATCTTTATTCCTGAGCTCAAGCTTGTGTGCTATGCAGTGGAATGGAACAATACTGGGTACGTCGGCCCTAAGTAATGTTTTAACACTGTTATGGTCTCCTAAGTTTACATTGGCTCCATCAGCCCCCATCATGATTAGTTTGGTTCTCCAGTCATTCATTCCATGTTTTTCAAAAGCCTGAATTATAGAGTCATATATGCCATTTGCTTTAGCACTCTTTAACTCCTCCAAGGAAAGTAATTCTACCTTAGGATTAAATCATCCAAATATCTGATCATTATGAGTTCTAACTCTAGGACTGATTTGTCAGTACTTCCATCGATCATAACACTGTAGAATGGAGAGTCTTTAATCTTGCATTTCAAGTCATCCCACATAACTTTAGCAATTGCTTGTATGAACGGTTGACATGATTTATGATTGATATATGTTTTTCCTAAATTGACACCATTCATCACATGAAGTTCCACATAGCTCTTTAAAATCACTGAAAGGTCTTTCTTTTTTTGCGATATAAAAAGCAATGTTAAAGAGTTTTGTCATTTTTTCTCTGTCATCCTTGCTCATGTTTTCAAAACCCTTTTCAATAGGAAGATGTTCATTATTTTTAAATTTTTCATCATCAATCTTTGCACTTTCAGCTGACTTATGTGTAGATGAGTTTATATGTTTTTTAGCTGTAAAGTATTTGACATTATGTGATCCTTTAACATACGCAATTGCTTTATTTGAACTGAATTGTCTGCATGTGTTGCACCAGACTTCACTGATATGTATACTATCTATACTATTGAATCCCAAACAATTAAATTTCCACGATTTCAATGTCGCAATGGACATAGTTACTTGATTTCTTGTAGAGAGTCACCATCATTATTTTCACTCATATCTCAAAGAATCACACTAGCTGTTTTATTTGATCTTTTAGGTTTCACTGGTTCTTCAAGTTCAACCTTGATACATGTAGGGTCAGACTGATCAGATTCAAGAGGAATAGGCTCTTCGGGTGTGATAAACTCTGGGATAGCATCTTCAACTTCGAACATAATAGGTTCGTCAGGTTCAAGTGTAATAGGCTCCTCAGGTGTGATAGACTCAGGGATGGGGTTTTCAACTTCAAGCATAATGGGTTCTTCAGGTTCAAGTGTAATAGGCTCTTCAATTGTGATAGACTCGGGGATAGGGTTTTCACCTTCAAGCAAGATAGGTTCTTCAGGTTCAAGTATGATTACTGTGATAGGCTCTTCAGGTGTGACAGAATCGGGGATAGGGTCTTCAACTTCAAGCATGATGACCTCGGGGATAGGCTGGGGGATAGGTATTCCAACTTTTGTGGGTTTATTGGATTTCCCTGAAAACATAACAGCATGATAAATGAAGTAAAAAATTAGACATGCCAGAGTACATGTCATTAAAATCAATAATGAATGACAGATGATCAATATGCATGAACAAGTGCCAAAGTGGGAAAGGCATAGAAGTATTTTGAGTCAAAAGTGCAATCCACGAAAGTTCAAGGAAACAATGAAAATCTCATAAAATGGACTCAGGTCAATCTTATATTCATGCTGACAAAGAAATGCATGAGTCCATAAATTGTAACCAGGTGATTAATAAGGTGCGTTATCAAGTTATAAATGGATAACAATATTTGTTGTTAATTTGGTGCCTTTTGATTTTTTTTTTTATCAATTTCTCAATAATGGATAATATTTAAAAATCAGCCAAATCACAGTGGGTTCCAAATTAAGAACAAATACTATTAAATTGCATGTTTGCATAGGTGAAGGGAAATTTAAATTAGTATTATACCTTTTTCAGCGCCAGACTTGTCTTCTCTTTTCCTTTTAGCAGTGGGTTTTTCTGTTGTAAATTTGTGTTTTTCAGGCCAGGTATGTTGAGACTCATCAGACCTTTTGGTTGGGGTCTTTGTTGATGTTTTAAATAAATCTTTCATGGATTTTTGTCTACCCTGATTTAGTTGTTGAGTCCTTCTCTGAGTTGGAACTACAATTGAACAATATTTTGATAAAACAAACAAAATTAAAAAATCCTTTCATTTAAGTCTAAGCCAAAGTGATAAACAAAATATAGCCTACTTCAGATCTGATTTTCAGTTTGAAATTAGGTAGGCTACATGTAAGATTTTTGGGCTCAAAGATCAGTAGCAAAACAATAGAATACCATGTTAAGTCTCCATCACAGTAGTCACTTTATAGTAATGACTTAACTGATCAGAAAACACAAGGAAAAAGAATTCCCCAATTGAATATATAGTGCAGACATGACTTCAAAATCACCAAAAAGTCGTTAGTGTCTGGTTACCCCATTTCTCATATCAACATTACACCCCTTTGCCCTAAATGTCATCTAATAGAAACGCATATGCTGCCAATTACTCAGATGCAAGTAGGAAGTTCCCAGTTTCGCCACCAGGTGGCTGATTCGGGGGAAATAACATGGCAGGGTATTACAAAATTCCCTTGAACCTGAATATTCATCAGTTTTAGTGGTTCACTTTTCATGTTACCCTTATGTATGTGATAGATATACAAATTAAAATATGTCCAGTAAAAGAAAATATTATCTGCCCAACACAAGAAAAGATATTTGACTTTTTGTGGTTTTACAACATGGGGTCTATGGGGAATCTCCCCGACCTAGAAGTCACATTTTCAAAGAAAATTAAATTTTCAAATTTGATAAACTCTTGAAAACCCAAAATACTTCCATACTGCCATCTTTTTCGACTCAGGTGCTGACTCAATCTGCATTACTCTCAGGGCTATGATGTATTATGTGGTAGCTCGCTCCCTCGAGTCCTTGATATAGACTCTCAGAGACTTCAAAACAGAACGCAACACTGTAGGCCTTGCAAATGTGGAAGGGGGGGGGGGGGTGTTCCCCGGAAAATTCAGAATTTGTGTGCTTATTTGGCGCATTCTTAGAGATTCTAGGATCTGTGGCTGCGAATTCTGTGTTTGTTTGTTTGTTTAATCTATATTTCCTCCAAACTATGGAGAGTTAAACATTA